TTTTTTTTTTTTTGTTTTATTTTTTGTGTAGAAAGCACTGAAGTTTATATTGATGGTTAGATTTCTCACTAAGTGTCTTATTCTGCCTTGAAATTTTTTTAGGGTTTTTATCAGTAGGTCTGACTGGATAATAGTAATGTCTTTTTTTCCTGCTGCATATATTTGAAATTCTGTGATTCTGCCAGTTATTTATGATATGCAAAAGTAATCCTGCAGCACTGCACTATAAAAGGTAATGTTTAAAGCTGAAGCAGAGTACTTCCTCAACCTTTCTCAGAGAGGATTTGTAGAGGCACATAAGTGTGTGTGTTTACATAGAGAACAGCTTACCATTGTCTTCTGGCCTAGATATGATGTTAGTGAAAAGTGTTCATGTCTTTATGTCAGTGAGAGGGATTAAATATTTCAGGGTAAACTATGCAGATACAAAGCATGTTTTCCCTAAATCCCAAGGATTTGAATTAGCAATAATCAACAAAGAAGTGTCATGGTGCAAATACTAGAATAATTACTTTAAAAAAATATATATGTAGTTAGTTAGCATAATGTATCATAAAGAAGAGTATATTGTGAATAAAGTTAAAAATTTTATATTTACTTTTCTTTAGTCTTGATTAGCTGGAATTAGTCTAAGTGTTTGTATATTTAAAATAAATGTCATTAAAATATTTATACATAAATGTAGATTTGCTATTAATACAAACAGTGAAGTATATAAGAACATTTAATAGGGTACTATGTTGATGTAGATAGATTGTTGTTCTTTTTAAGTATGGAAGTAGTTAACCAAAGAAAGTGTCTTTCAGATCTGGTAAAATGATAACTATTTCCAAAGTACCAGCTCGGTCTTCTTGCATCTCGAAAAGTTATGTACTTACTTTAACCCTCTGTATCTATACAAATTGTGAAAACTACTGTGCATTTCTAAGAGAAATTCACAGCTCAGTGTTTCCAATTATGCTCCTTGCTGTGTGTTTTGAATAGTCTAACAGGCCTAGGATCCACCTTAAATAGCAGCCATGCAGCAGGACACAATAAAAGACACAAAGGATTTATACATGTAGATTTTGCAGAAAGTAATAGTTTATTTGTGAACAGCTACTTCAGAAAAGAAGGGTAAGATTTTTCATGACTGGTGTTCGCAAAAAATTTTTAGCCCAACTCTCTTAAAGTCTTAGTACAGTTACTGCCAATGTAAGGTGTCACTCTATTGAATCTACAGATATTGATGATCCACTGAAAGTTCCAAAAAGTGCATCTTAAAAATCACTTGAACTTTAAACTTTTGTAAATGTTTAACATTTGATCTAACTTTACTTCTTTTGTCCTATTAAAAGTTAGGTGCAATGTTCTGTTTAATTTAAATTTCAAGGCTAATGTTCAGCCATTTTCCTTTTTTTCCTCATGCCAATTGTAGTGGGGTGAGACTTTTTTTCAAGTGGTATTGGCATATTGTAAGCAATATTTAAACAAAAAGAAGCTCGAGGAAATGGATGAGAAGACTGGAGCAGTGCTTGAAATTGAAAGGAATGTGGATATACATAATAAAGTAATGGCTCTATTATTTTCTTTTCCTTCTCTCCACTGTTTTAGTCTCTGGAAATAATATTTACAGGGAAATAATATTTCATGCCAATATTGAAATGTTTTATAAGCAAAACATAGTTTGAAGTTTTTAATACTATTCAATTATCAGAGCAGATTGTACAGTTCTGAACCTTATTCAGAACCAAGAATTTAACTATTTTTAATATATTTATCATGGGACATATAATTGTGTGTTGTGCTTCCCAGTATTACTGTTTCAGGGTGGAATATCAGTTACACTTTCCAGCAAGTGATGTCCATGAAAATCTTCCCTGATTCTGAAACAAAAGTGCTAATTTCACAAATTCATGTTCTCAAATCTACTTTTTCTTAGTCTCCTACTCATTAAAACTGATAATACTCATCATAATTGATAGGAAGTAATTTGCAACATGATTAAGACTACTAGTTAATTTTTGTCCCTTTTCTAAGCAATTGAGGGACAGAGTGGAGAATTTGGAGAGTCTTGATATTTTCGTAGGTAGTAAACTTTATTCTTTGAATGAGAGGCATCTAAAATGGTGAAAGTAATAATTTTTTCTCAGTTTAATTGAAGGACCCTATCATGTTATTGGTTTCTCCAAATAATATTTCGGAAACTAATTTTCAGAACAAGTTGTTCCATCAGGAAAAATCAGACTTTTATCAATCCTTCAGACCTTGAAATTCTTGAATCCCTTGAACCATTGCCTTCTTTCCCTCCAAGTGTTCCTTAGGATTCTGAGTTTTAATGGAAACTGCATTTTTAGGATTAATTAGTGTTTGTCATTTTCATGCATTTAAAAAAGAAAACTTATGGGCAGTGTTACTAAATTTCATGCTAATACAATATCAGAACAACATATGCTTTGTTGAGAAAAGTGAATATTATCTTCTGACTTGGCAATATTTGATTTCCTGAAAGGCACAAAGAGAACTTGAAGAACCAATTAACTCCTCCCAGAAAATATTTGAAAGTTGGTCTATATGCTGGTTTATATGCAGTGTGGGATAGCTTCTGACCAAAAATTGCTAACTTGCTATCTTCTCATAATCAGAGATTTGTGATTTCATTTTAAAAATGCTGATGTCTAAAATAAAACATAATGTATTAAATAATATCTGTGAATCTGTCCTCTGATCTGTTCCTTTGAAGGAGAGGTTCTATCATATAGCAGTTCTAGTAGTGCAGGTACACAATAATTTTCAGTCTTGAAGGAGGAGTTATGAGTCTTGAATTCTCATACACATGGAACTTTAAGAATAAATTTTCTATGTATCTGTCTTTATTAATATACATAACTTTTAAAATATGTTCTGAGCTGTTCTTCAGATATTCCTGAGAATTACTTTAATTGACTGGTTTATAAATACATGGTTAATAAAACACCAAGTGGAATGTCATGTATCTTGGTTTAACCCCAGCCAGCAATTAAGCACCACAAAGCCACCCCAGCAGGATGAGGGGGAGAATTGGAAAAGCAAAAATGTGAAACACTTGGGTCAAGATAAAGACAATCTATAGGCTTGATAAGTAAACCAAAAGCCATACAGCCAAGCAAAGCAAAATAAAGACTTAATTTATTGCTTTCCATGGTCAGGCAGGTGTCCAGCCACCTGTAGGAAAGCAGGGCTGCACCACCCGTGATGCTGAGTGGGGAAAACAAACACCATCACTCCAAACATTCATGTGTTCCTCCTTCCCCCAGTTCTATTTGCTGAGTGTGACACCTTGTGCTATGGAATATTGGCGTTGGGGTCCCAGCTGTCCCAGCTGTGTCCCCTCTTAACTCCTTGTGTACTCCCAGCCTCCCTGATGGGATGGTGTAAATAGGAAAACAGGGCCTGTCACTATGTTTCCTTGTGGCTCAGCTGTAAGGAAAGTATTCCTGTGCTATCAACACTCTTCCCAGCACAAATCGAAAACAGCCCTGCATTAGCTACCCTGAAGAAAATTACTTCTTCCCAAGATCACATTGTTGTTTGCATTCATTTGCAACAATATTTCATTGTTCATGCTATCGTGTTTGGTTGATGAGAAGCTCTACACAACCTGGTAATATGTGCTTTCAGCACAGCAAACATCCTAAGAAGTGCAGCCAAGAGGTTGAGGGAGGTGATTTTCTCTCACTAATAAGTTGAATCTAATTCTCAATTAGTTGAAGTATTAGGATCTCAAAAGTAACAGTGTGATACTGAATGCTGCTAGGAACTGCTTTTGGGAAGAACAGGTATTTCTAAACACACTGTCCATACTTAGGTAACTTAATATGTGACTGGATACTTAGAAAATGTTCCTCAAAAGATTTTTGTACTACTATCTTGGTGGCTGAGTATTTGCCCTTGGTAGGCATTGAAATACTTGTATTTGCGGACTGCATAGGATTGAGAACTGAAATCCTGGAAATTATCCAGTGGCATCTTGCGTCTTGGCCAGGCTGTGGCAGAATGGTTAAAGCCTGTTGTAGCAGCAAGGGCTGTCCAAGTATCAAATGTATAACTGTAAGAATAACTTACATTTACAGAGGTTTTCAAGTTAGAAAATAGGAATTTTAGCTTTTGTGCACTTCTGGGTATTTCAATGCTCATTCCCAGGACTCATATCTGCATGTATATCACAGTAGTCTGCAGACAGAAAAATACCACTTTGTCTTTTTAGCAGGCAGAAAAATAGTACTGATTTTTATGAACTAACATTCTGAATTTTGTACCTGAAATGTGGGCATGTGATTGAGTTTTATTCATTTGTTCTTAGTTTGATCTTGACTGTTTTCAAATAATGCTGAATGAAAATTATGAGGTCTAACACTGGTTATGCCTGAATGGTAATGTATGAGGTGAATGACTGAATAATAGCAGAACAAGAAAGCTTACTTTGGTATTCTTTTAATCAAATCTGAAAATGCATGAGTGTGTTCAGCCGTTAAACAATGTATTTTTTTAAAATTTATCTTTGTTAATTTCATTCATGTAATGGGTTTTTTTGATTTTTAAAATTGATTAAAATTACAGTTTATTTTTTTCATTCCTACTGAGATTTTTTTTGTCCTGTATTTTTATGAAATCTTATTTTTAAATAAAAAAGAATTAAAAGTTTTTTTCTCTTCACTGTATTTTATTTACATTGATTTAAAATTGTGTAAATTGTTTACTAATATTCTTAGATCTGTTTGCAGATTTTTCTAATTACGTTATAAATTATTCTCACTGCTGTATATTTTTTATTGTAACAAGTGAAAAAGCTACAACCCAAAATGATTGTTTTGAAAAAATGAACTGTGAAAAATTGCTGAGTAGTTGGCGGGGTCCTTACTATCCAAGCTTTGTTGTTTGCTTTTAAGAGAAGAGATGAATGTTGATGGAAATATTGAAAGCTTTCTCTATTAGGA